CTCCTCTTTGTTGATTTCTCTAAAGTGTTTGGGGTCTGTTCTGACTCGCTTGATGATGAGGTACTTGATGTGATGGTCCTGGTACATCAGGATCATACATCTCATCATTCATTTCGCTCCACTGTGTCGTGCTTCCAAAGAGATCGGTGCCCATGTTGTTGAAGTTTGGTCTTGTTGGTTGGGATATGTGTGGGTGGGGTGGTTGATAGTATTGGGATATTGAATCATTTTGGAAATGAAGCAACAATTCTTGTGGTGTATGAAATTCGTATGATGGTTGGGTACTTCGATGGTGTGATGTTTGACTGTATGTAGGTTGAGTGGTATGGTAGGAAGGAGATGTATCATATGTGTCTTGGGTGTTATGGTAGGATGTGGAGGGTGCATATTATTGGTGGTGGGTCGGGTCATGCTCTTGGTATTGTGTTTGTGTGTGTGACATTAATTGTTGACGTGTTTGGTTGGATGTGGTGGTGTATGGTTGTTGGGTTTGAGTGGGTTGACATTGTTATTGGGTTTGGTATTGATGATGGGTTGGATGTTGGGCGTATGATGCAACTCTTTGACGTGGGTCAATCAAATATGTCTCATGAGACATAAACAAATTTGTTTAAATCGATGTGTATCATGTCAAATATTGGAGAGTTGGTTTTAAGCCATCTTACGAGACCGGCTCCCTTAGGACCAATTCATGTCGATGCCTCCATTGACGATATTGATTTCTAGCGAAGTCTCTCAAATCAGTAAATCTCCATTGGTCGTCAACTCTGAGTAGATGCCATTGTCCCAAACATGTAGGGGGTATGGGATACCCTGTTTCATATTGAACTGTAGCTTCACACGATCAATGTGGTGCATCTCCATAATAATGAACCTAATGAGCGTTGTTTTTGCAGTCCAGAGTTCAACATCTGTTGGGTTAATCTCATGGTCGAGATCCTTATACGACCTCCATACAAACTGTAGAGGAAAAGGAATGTTAATCTAATATTAATATTAAACTTAATTAACCTATTGAAAGCGTTGTATAAAATATGTAAGCTTAATACCTCTTCGGGTCCAACAAGATCAATAAGATTTCAGTAGACTACTATTGTGTTTCTAGGGGATTTATTATAATTCATCCCAGGAACAGACCATCTACATAAAAAATGGGTAAAAAATTAATACATGTTGGTTATAGTATATATAGTATGTAAAATTTGTGTTTTTGTAATCTTACTTTGTAGCAAAGGGAAAGACGAATGCCCTTGTTTTGTGGGGGGCGAGTGTCGACATTCTCGACCAGCACCATGTTTGGAGCAAAAAGGCGCAGGAATAGAAAGACTAGATGTCATTCGATGCATTTTTACACAAGGAACTATACAGATGGGCCAAAACAGCAGAGCCCCAACTATATGTGTTTATTTTATCAAAATGTCTTAACAAAGGTAAATACATGATATTAACAGTATTACATGTTGTTTCAGGAAATAAAAAGTGACCAAATAATATCATTATGTAACACCGAGCTTTCACAAATTTTTCTTGCTCGGTAGAGTTTTCGGTTATTACGAGACTACTATGATATTCTATAAGAAGACAAAGATTAATACCTTGGCCTCTAGACCCTTGTTCAAATAAACAGGCTCCCAAAAGTTCCTCGCATATGGTGTTGTCTTGGTTGACTCGACCATTGACAGCTTTACCATCGATCGGTAGACCGAATAACATGTACACGTCCTCTAGTGTGACAGTACATTCACCATATGGAAGATGAAAGATGCGAGTTTCAGGTCTCCATCTTTCCACTAATGCGAGAATAATTTTATAGTCAACATGGTAATTGACTATGTTGAGTAACAGACCAAAACCGACTTGTCGTAAGTACGGTTCAATTTGTACATCGTAAGGGACATACTCATGGACACGGCAACGAAATATTTTAACATCCTATTAAAAACATGAATTACGTATAAGAAATATAAGATTTACGTATTAACAGGTATTGAAGAAAATAAACTTACAAAGGTTTCAATGTTGTTGAGAGTTCCTCTATGTTGATTATCTCAGACAGAACTCGTGTCAATGGAAGTGGAATATTTCATCGATTGTTCTGGGTGTATGAACCATGCATCAAAGGTTTTGCATTTTGAAAACCTATTATACAAATTGATGGAACTTAGTTATATGGAAAGTATAAAGGAACATTACTCATGGCAGTGGCACAAGATGGCAACAATAATGTTTTTCCGATTGCCTTCGCTCTTGTTGAAGGTGAGACAGGTGGTGCATGAAATTTCTTTCTGAAGAATCTTCGATTACACGTTTCTCCTCAACCTAACCTTTGATTAATTTCAGACAGATATCCATCGATTGTGAGTGCATATAATAACCTTGATAACGGTTGGCAGGACCCCCCTTCAACACATGTCTACTGTATTATACATATCACACAAAACTTCATGCTCCATATCAAAGACAAGACACTTTGAAAGAAAGTTGGTAATGTAGGGTATGCCTTAACAGAACCATTATTCCAACACTATCATGAAGAAATACGGTTGAAAAACTCAGAAGCATTAAGGTGGACCGAAAACATTCCAGTGGAGAAGTGGACTCAGGCATTTGACAATGATCAACGATGGGGCCACATGACAATAAATTTGGTGGAATCATTGAACTCTGTCTTCATAAGCATCTGAAACCTACTAATTACTACTTTGGTTAGAGCAATATATTTTAGGATGGGGTCATTGTTCGACATAAGAAGTTCAAAATGGAGGGCTACAATCAGGGCAGTTGTTCAGTGAATGCACAATGAAATCATTTAACGAGGAGACTGCCAAAGCAAACACCCATAGTGTCACTGTGTTTAACTGTATTAAAGGTTGTTTCAGTGTACAAGAGACAATGGATCATAATGAGGGGAGGCCAAGGGGATATTATCGGGTCGAACTAGATAGAAGTTGGTGTGATTGTGGAAAGTTTCAAGCATTTTGCATGCCTTGCTCTCATGTCATAGCGAAATATTCGCATGTTCGCTTGGATCCAATACGAGATATATCCCCCGTTTACACAGTAAAAAGCATTTTAAGTGTGTACATCAGTACCTTCTCCGTGTTGGCAAAGGAGGATTATTGACCTGCTTATCAAGGGGACATTGTTTGGCACAATGAACAAATGCGACAAAAGAAAAAAGGGCGCTCCAATAGCACTCGTATTAGAACTGAAATGGATACGACCAACAAAATGATAAGATTATGCAGTACATGTCGTCTTCCCTGACACAATCGAAAAAATTGTTCGAATATTGGGTCTAGCTCTGCATCCTAATTTTTTTATAGCAAACTTTCCGGAGTAATTAATTTGTTGTAAGCAAGAAATTTCAATTTAGATTCAGGTTTTCATTTTGTGTTTAATTTATCATTCGATTACAACAACCTTCAAATAATGACTCAAAAAATTACAACACGACAAATGCAGGACAACAACACAACAACATGATAAGCAGGCAAAATAACTAAACACATCATAATATCTAAAAGATAAAAACCATCAATAAAATATCATCTGGTGCAAGCATCATCATCATGACATCAGCGTCGCATCTCACCTTTTTCCATGATCGGCTTACTCCGTTTTCGTTCTTCACTGTAATTTGTCTTTCAATTTTTCTGATATGTTCACCTTCAGGAATGTCTCGTTCCAACCAGCGAATCAAGTGTCTCTGAAAATGCTCGATTGTCAGCGTGTTCTAGAGTTTGATCTTCATCAGAGGCTTTATCACCGAAAAAATAACATGCGCATCTCTTTTGATCAGTGAAAACCTAAGCAAGGGAGTGAAAGACATTTTTTAAGAGTGATGTGAGAAATGGTGTGAAAAAATGAAGAAGATGAGTAATTGCATTTATAGAAAACCATATACAACTGTCAAACCACACATGGTAGCGCCTCCTCTCTAATTCTACATGCATGCGCCATACTGCATAGCTTTACATAGGAGGACAAACCATACAGTGTGACGCCTCCTCTCTATCTTGTATACATGCGCTACACAGAGTGACACATCCTCTGTGTAACGATTTTTTTTGTTTGAAAAGTGATTACTTTAATAAATATTTTTCAAAAGTGATTATTTTAGTATTTTTAAAAAAAAAAGTTATTTAATTTTTTTTCTCTATATTTACACCATATAAAATACATCATACATGTGTTAGTTTGTGTCCGAAAAAAGAAAATATAATAATTAAAAATATTCTAAAAAATTAAAACCGTATAGATATACGATGTAAATGTCATATTTAATGTAACAATAATATTTTTCTATTTCTAATTATATTAAGAATAGATATCCCACCTAAATATAATTAACTGAAAAAACAACCAAATATGTATGAAACACACACGTTTGAGACACATCATACTTTATATTATATTTTGTTCTCTGTCTAATATGCACTTGCATTTAGAACTTCGTGCTATCCAAATCCTAAGAATGGGGACAAATGGGTGAGGTGTGGATAAGAAGATGAAGAGAGCCAAAGAATCGAAAATATAATGGTTGGTTGGAACTTCAAACTTTCAACATCAATATTCAACCTTTTTTTTTGTGATGATAACTAAGTAACTAGATTTTTTTACAACGTGTGGCTATCTTCTACTCTCTCTAACACGTTTTCTTCCTTCACACCATTAAAAAAATTATAAATAATTAAGTAGTAACTTGATAAATCTCTTAAATAATTATGTAGAGACATCAAATACAGATGTAAAGACATAAATTTGAACTTGAATGGTCACTTATTTATCTTAAATTCTTACCCAATTGATTATTTGATAAAAAAGTAATCTTTAATTTTAACTAACAAATATAAATATTTCAAACTCATTTTATGTTTTACTCCTATTTTGCAAGGAAAAAAAAAAAAAACAAATCCCATAAACCACAAACATAAACAAAATTTGATAACCTCAGAGATATCATTTTCCTTTTGTAGCAGAAAATGAATTCACCGGCAATGGCTTCCCAAACTTCCACCTTCGCCGTCTCCGTTTCTTCTATCGCAACCCCTCTCCGGCGCCGCCGCAACTTCCCCGTCGTACGCGCTCAAGGTATAGTTCATTCCAATATCCTAACTTTTTGTTTGTTATCTAATTGATTCTGATTTGGATTTTTTCATACCCCAGTTGCGTTTTACTGTGTATTTTGAATCAATGCTCTTAGTAGTGTTTGTTTAGTAAGTGTTGTTTGTGGTTGTTGTTTCATCACTGTGTTACCCAGAAGGTGTTTGTGGAAATGCTTCTGACTGAGTTTTCTAACTGGATTTATTTGGTACCTAGTGAATTGGGTTTTGATGCTGAACTTCGTGTTTGTTAAATAAATTAGTTTCCTTTTCTCTTTTTCTGGAAATCGGTATTATGACTGATATTAGATATATAGAATAGAATTGCACCCCGTTGTTACCGCCGAGTAGTTTGATTGTGAAACATTTTATATAGAATCTCCGGTTCAAACCCAGGTTATCACATTTGTTCTTTCCGCAAATGTTTATATTATCATTAATGGCCACTAGGGAATAGCAAAGTAAAATAAAGATTCATGGAATAATGATAAGTAATAATGTCAAGTGATTAATTGTTCTCATAAAAGGGTTGATTGATGGTTCTAATTTTTTAAAACAGACACTTTGTTGAAGGAGGTCCGAGTGTCCAATGTGCGTTGGACTCTCTTTTTCGGTTTTGGAATATAAAAACATTATTTTGGGACTCGGTTTTGGAATATGAAAACATTATTTTGGGGCTCAACATGGCTAAATGGCTTGGACACGGCCACAAACTTAACCGACACTTCAATCCTTGCTCGACATGAAATGAGACACAGTTTGTACCAAAGTTTTCATTTTTTTTTAAATGACGATAATCAACTTGGGGATTAAAGCCCTTAAATCACTAGATTCTTATTAAATTTTGGTTTGTAGATGGATGGGCTGAAAATTAAAGAAATAGTTCAATTGTATCATGTTTTGGAGTATTTTTTGTAAAGAAACGGTGTTCAAATTGTATAATGATGTCTTATGGAATTTGTTGACGAGACTTTGTCATACGGAAAATGTAATACTTAACAAATTCTTTTGATATGATGATGAATATTTAAGTCCTGATTCTTAATTTATATCTTCTTTTTTTTTTAAATTTTTTAAGTAATGCTCATGTATGTGTGCACGCGTGTGTTTGTGCTTGTGTTGTTGTGTTCAATATTTTGGACATTGTCGATGTCTACCCGTTGAGTCAAGTTTCCATGTATATGCTTGTGCTTTATAGGTTATAAACGACATTTCTATATTAGGACCATTAAGTTAATACAAACTTGCAAATTATTATTGAACTAGTATGGCATGAGTTATCTATTATGGTATGAATATTTTAGAATACTTTATGTATGAAATTTAAAGGTTATGTGCTTTTGAGCGTTTTTAAGATATACGAGTTTAGCCAGTGATTCAGTGTCTGACCAATGGCCCATGACCAAATACTTGTTTGAGGATGCAACTGTTCAACTTTTATAACATTGCTGGAAACTATGGCTGTATTTTCTTACTTCAATTTCTGTTTGAATGTCAGTTTTCTGTGGCCAAATTTTTGTTGTGCTTGTGCTTTCAATTTCGGTGATTTGATTAAATTTCATTTCTATAGAAATAATATGCTGGTTCTTTCAGTGGAACCATCTGATAAATCAATTGAAATTATGAGGAAGTTCTCAGAGCAATATGCCCGTAAATCAGAAACATACTTTTGTGTTGACAAAGGAGTAACTTCTGTTGTTATCAAGGTACATTCTCTATTTTTTACTCTTCGGCGTATACCTTCTTTTTTAATATGACTTTATTTGCTTTATAGAATTTTTTCTTTCTTGTTTGAATAGCACTCATTACCAAAGAAAATTTATGTTTCATATTCTTTTAATTGTTGATACAAATCTAGTGGGATTTTGGAATTTTGCAAGATTATCATAATCAAAACAATGGTTGCATCAAATTTGAGCTTTTCAATGGATCATGGTTAGCTATGTGCTTTGTAAGTTATGTGCAGAATGCAGGAAAGTTCTGTTTTCTTTAGGAAAAAGAAATTACTGAGAAAAAGGAGAAAATTGCAGTAAAGGAGGGAATTTGGTTGATGTTTTGGTTAAATATTAAACCTTTTAGGGGGGGACTTTCAATTTTTCAAAATATTATTGGCTATTTTTGAAATTATTTTCTGGGTTGATATTTATAAGTTTTGGTCTACAAGCTGGCATTTTCTTTCTCTGGCTCGCTAATTCTTTGAGAACTACTATGATATAATTAACCATGTCATTATAGCTATAAAACACAACCACCAGACACAACCCTGACACCAACATGTGGGCAACATTAATAATTGAGAAAGTTGAAGTGAATGTAATCACATGTGTTGGTATCATGTTGGTGTCGAACATAGACACATGCCAGACACCAAACTTACCTTTAATCTGAAGTATTGGTGTTACATAGCATTATACTGTTTTGATGATGATGATTATGAAACACTATTTGCAATTTTATATTCTAATATAAAAAGTACTTCTAGGAATATTTTTACAAAACATCAAGTTTCTTCTTTTGATATGTAAATGTTTTTGGCATGTTGATATTATGTATTAATTCAAAATGCATCTTCTCATTATAGTTTTTCTTTAACATTATCAAATTCACACCCTTATCATAGATGTTCTTCTGGTTTTAGATATCCCTGTTTGAATATTGTTTTTATTATTTTTTAATGTAAAATGCCACTTCTATATGCCCCTTGTTGCGCAACTGCTTATGTGCATTGTTATAAAATATCCGCCAATGCGGATATACATGGCGGGTTTTTTGGACTCGTCGCTATGGTAAATATCAGCCGATGTTGCTGGTTTTTTGGACTCGCCGCTATGGTAAATATCAGCTGATGTTGCGGATTTTTCTGCTATAATCCGCTATAACGGCGCGGTAAAGCGCCTGATATGGTGAGATTTTGGCTCTCCACATCCTTCATCGACAACACTGCTACGTGTCAGGCACTAGGAACTAAAATTTCAGTAGATTACATGTTTTGAATTGCGGAATGTTGTGAATAGACACCATATAACTTATCGAGCTTGATTCATTACTGTTAACACATAATATAACATTAGATTTCTAAGCCAGATTGTGCATGATTGAAATCTAGTTCAGAAAACTTTCCTCTATATGCATATAACTGATAAATAGATAGTCATTTACTTTGGTACTTCTTTTATTGGGAAAGGGAAAATTATTATCAGTGAAGATGACATGACACTAATGATCCTTTTACAACTTTCTTGTGTGAAATTTGAACTTAATCTCTCAATGTTACAATATCAAACTCGTACCACCGGAATGTCACTGCATGGAAATTTACTTGCGTAATTAATATTCTGTCTTACATTATTTCTATTTTGGAACAGGGTTTGGCTGACCATAAAGATTCATTGGGTGCACCACTCTGTCCTTGCCGGTAAATACTTGTTATTTTACCTCGTTGCAGAGAATTGTGTCTTCATTCTATAGATCTGGTTGCGTGGCGTTATACATAAGTTTGATTAGTATTGATGTTTTCTAACTTCCTAAGCCTACATGCAAAATCTGTGTTTTAGGCATTACGACGATAAAGCTGCTGAGGCTGCACATGGATTTTGGAATTGCCCGTGTGTTCCCATGAGAGAAAGGTGTGCACATCTTTACAACTAGCTCTGACTTCTTTTCTTCTTCTAAGATCTTAATTTGTCAAGTTTGGCACTACTTTAACAAGTATCAAGTTGTATAACAGGCAATTGTTTTGTTTTTAACTTATTGTGATTCTGTTTTGTAGGAAGGAGTGCCATTGCATGCTTTTTCTCACTCCCGATAACGATTTTGCCGGCAATGAACAGGTAATTTTATGATACAATTTGTCTTAATTTTGATTTTTGTCCTCATTTTTACTGCTATTCATATGCAACATTTTCTTGTCTAGCAGACTATCACCTTGGATGAAATTAAAGAATCAACATCAAGTATGTAACACAGATTATTGTGTATTAATGTACTCGTGTTAGTTGTTTCAATGTGTAACATTTGAAAAACAATGGAAGAGAAATATGTAACATTATATGTAGGTAAAGTATATTTCTACCAAAAATCACATGTAATTTTTTTCATTTGTGCTGTTCATAAGTGGCCTAACCCATACTTTGTCACAAAATCTCCATTTCACAACTTGCTTTCTTTGACTGCTGATGCCAAAATTAAGCTCCATTTTAATCAATTTCATATCTTTACCGATATCAGGATATCAAAGTCATTATTAGATTAATCTAACGGTTGAGAGATCATAAATTATCCATATCTGATCACTATATGATATTTTCCGAATGTAATGCAAGTTCTAACATTCAAATTGGTATTTAGAACCAATGTATCATTCAACTTGATCATTCTTCAATATACAAACTACTTGTTAGAACTGTTAAACCTAAAAACCCAAAGCAAATCTTGAAACAATGGATTTTAATATGGATCCATTTTCTCTCCGACAAAATTGTTGTTGCTAGATTAATCAAACCGCTGAGAGATAAAGAGATTGTATATGATAAGTTTGAACATTCAAATTGCACTTAAAGGCAATGTATCATTCAACATATTACATCAAATTACACATCAAGCAACAAGAATCAATAAGCTTTAACAGAAGGAGTACTAGGAGGAGAATTAGTACTAGAACGAGATCCAGCTTTTTTGCCACAATCTTGACCATTATTCCTTGAAGCTAAAGCAGCCATAAACCTATTTTTCCAACTTCCATTACCATCACCACTTGTTAAAGAAGAAGCTGAATCTCCTCTTCTACAAGCATGATCAGCAGAAAAACGATGCTTGAGACACACCTTAATGTTGCAAGTTTTACATGTGCTCGTGTTAGAAAACGTCAAAATCTCCTTGCAACGCTTCACGGGACAAATCGGTTTCTTCTTCTTGCTAGGGTCACACTTCCCTGAAGTATGGTGCTTCTTTAAGATTGCCTCTTCATTTTCTCTAGCGTTGTTTGTGATCTCCATTGACATGGAACATTCTTCGCAAACGACCACTTTTCGGCTGTTGTGGTCGGGTTTGGGACAATCATGAGACTTGTATGATCTGTGTTCTACACAGAATACCTGCCATTGCATATCATGTTAATGCCTTTTTCTGTTTTTATATTTTGTAAACCTACTAGTATACATTTGATTAAGATGCCTGTAAATTTTTAATGAAAATTACAATATTCAACGTGTTAACAGTTAATGTACTTAAACTCAATTACCTAGTTTAACTCATACAAATTGGTTAGCTAATTTTTGGAAAAACTTATTTTAGAAAATAAAATCTTAGAATTTGAATATAGATTGCGCGGAATTTAATCCTGCAAAATTTGCATTACTCCACTCATAACTATATATATTTAAAATGGTATGAAGACTTTGTACATCTAAATGTTAAAAATTAAACAAAATTTGGACAAGTCATATTTAAAACAGGTATGGAAACCTTACACTTCTAAATATTAAAAATTACAAAATTCAGATAAGCCAGACTCATTTCGAAGAAAAATAGGGTAGGCATACATGCCCTTATATTTCCTGCTAAAAATTTACATGTTCATTCTATTCCGCAAAATATATATGAGGACCAGCAGACAGGCTGACCTGACATCTTTAAATATTAAAATTTAAATATTAAAATTGTAAAAATTCTTGTTTTCAAAAAAGTCTATAAAAAAGATAGATATATTAAAGAATGTAATACCTAAAACCTTAATAGATATAAGTCTTCCAGACTAGATCCGTTTTATCATCCTTAATCAAATTTTTAGCACTCTCTTCCTCCATCTTAGGACTAAACATATAGAGTGTACCTCAATAGATATTGAATAAATTATATCAACTTAAAATTAAATTTACAATTAAAGTTGAATTTAATTATTTCTTATAAAATTGACTTGCTATCTAATCCATCCTCGAGGGATGAATGCTTAAGTTAAAAAATGTATTTCTCTTAAAGTTTTGAGTTCAAATTCTGCTAAGTACCAATAATATTTGTGTTGGGATATTCATACAGAGTTTGCTCGGACTTTAAACAAAGTTTAGCTAATGGACGGTAGAATTGATTCTTTTATATTAATCGATCACAAAATCGGATACTAAGATTAAAAAAAAAAACAACCAATAATCCAATGAAGCTATGTATATTCTAACTCAACATGTTAGGGAGAAGATCATGCTCCTAGGTCTCAATTCAAACTTTCACAGCCAGACCAACCACAAAGGTTTACAAAATTGACTTATAAATTGACGATTGAATAAAGATGATGAAAAAAAACAATAAAAAAATACCTGTTTGCAGCCATCACAGGTGAAGGGAAGGAAATCGAGCTGGTGACAATCGAGATGCTGGCAGTGTTTACCCAAATCTGGGAAAGCTTCTGTTCCACCTGATGCCATAGATTGATTCTGAATATTTTGTGTCTTTTTATTGTGAAATTGAAATTCAAAAAATAGTAATATGAATGAATGAAGAACAAGGAAGAGTGTATTTATAGGTTTGGTATAATGACTTGGGGCTTAAGACAGTTTTTGATAGGGGTTACGTATGAAACACGTAATCTCAAAATAGAACATTCTAGTTATTACTGTATAACCGGACAATTAAGAGTTCTATTTCGGCGTCTACGCGGTAATAATTATAGTACAATCCGTTTCTTATCTTTAAACAAAATAAATAATAATTGTATTTTCTATTAGCCTTTTTTTCTTAATATTTTAGGATTCGTGATCTTCCTTATGTGGGAAGTTTATTGGACCGGGTTGAAAAAGAAGGTTTCTTCCTGCCACACACCTCCACACCCCTTAGATTTTTATCATATTAACCTTGTATAATATTATATTTTATAAAAAGTATTGAAAAAGTTCGAATTTTTAGAAAAGCTCTGTAATTTTCCAGACATTTCATAGATACTATCAGATATTTGTTGTTGATGATAATGACGAAGATAATTTCGGTAAATTTGATGAAAAATCTGACAAATGTGTATTTTTATATTATTCATTTACTAGTAAGGTTTATAGAATTTATAATAAGAGAACTTTAACTATTGAAGAATCTATGTATGTTTCTTTTGATAAATCTAACACCTCTAAGAGGGACATAGTTGTTTGCGATGATGATGATTTTTAGAAATGCCTTTGAAAGACGCTTTCAAAAATGACAAAGTTGATCATTCAGAACACAAAGAGGAAACCATTCAACAAGAGAAAAATCAAAGCGGTCTTCCTCAAGAATGGAGAACCCATCATGATCATCCAATAGACAAAGTAATTGGAGACATAAGTAAAGGAGTTTCAACAAGGCTAAATCTCAAGGATGTTTGCTTGAATATGACATTCGTTTCTCAAATAGAACCTTCGACGATTAATAAAGTCTTAGAAGACGACCAATGGATATTTGTCATGCAAGAGGAATTAAATCAATTCAAAAGAAATCAAGTTTAGGAACTTGTTCCTAGGTCAAGTGATAAACACATCATAGGCACCAAATGGGTGTTTAAGAACAAACTTGACGAGAATGGTATAATTGTTCAAAACAAAGTAAGATTGGTGGCTCAAGGTTATAATCAAGAAGAAGGAATCTATTTTGAAAAAATATTCGCTCCAGTTGCAAGGTTAGAAGCTATTTATTTATTACTTGCTGTTGTACCCCAAAATTTGCCCTCTCATATTTCTCAATACATTTCAAGAAAGATCTTCAAGTTGCTCAAGGAAGTCCAAGGGTTGACCAGACAAACTCTCTCCTAAGGCAGTCTACCTCAAATTAGGGTTTCATGTTGCATCAAGATACTTGAGTCCAAGGGATCCCAAATGCTCACCGTTGTCCTAATATGTTATCAAGATCATCCATGTCAAGTTTCAAGCCTTGCAGAGAAAGTTTGCCCAGTCAATTGCTCAAAGGCCTGAAAATCGACTGTGCTAGGGCAAAAGTCAACTGTGGCCTACATACATTCAAACTTCAACATTTTTGGCCAGAATCCTCATTTTAAAGTGACATTCATCATTTGATCAAGGGTTGATCATGATTCACCAAGGATTGCTCATAATTCATCAAGAACCAAAAGTTGCTAAATTAGGGTTTTGTAGGAAAAGTCAACTCAAATTTGACCAAGCATAACTTTCTCATACTTTATGAGAAATGACCCATCCAAAACTCATTTTAAAGAGGATTCAATTCTATACAATCCATATTCATCTCCCAAGTTCAAAATATGCACTCACAAGAAGTTATGAATTTGGACATTATAGGTCATTTTGAAAAGTCAACAAAACACCTTTTTTGTCAAAGCTTCATACGTGAGAATGGAATACCAAATTGAGATGATACAAAAAGGTTTGCTTAGAGGATATCTCAAGATTTCTAAAAAGTCCAAGAACACCTTCAAAGAGTCAAAATTGAGGAAGTTATGCATTGGTGAAGTTGACCTTTTTTTGCAAAATTGCCAAAAGTCAACTATGTCTCAAATTGCAATTTTTGCTAAATGGGCCTAACTTTTTGCATTTGTTCTGAGTTGGTAGCATGGTCCACGAGTCCTAGCTCTTCCCACTTGTCTTTATCTTATTTTTATTATTTATTTTGATTTTTATTTGAATTAAATCAATTTAAATCAAAACAAATCATAGAAAATCCAAATCATTGAAACCTCAAGATATTGTGCATGTTTCAGGTTCTATATCCAGCTAGCAAAAGATTGAAATCGTGCAAAGCCTTTGTGTGCACAAAAAGATTGGTTTTGACCTATTTTTAGAAAGATTTTCAAGAGAATCAAATACAAATCAAAAGCTATAATGGAGGAAGATTGAGAGCATAATTTGAAACCTAATTCATTCCTCAGTATATAGTAAACATTTGCAGACCAAAATCGGGAGGGGGGAGAGGCGTGAAAAGGCTAAAGAAAAACTTGGAAAATTCAAGAAAAGTAGCTATTTGTTTTCATACTTCCAGACGCTGTCAAGCCGTTCCAAGCATTCCTTTCACTTACTGGACATTCAAGGAATCCATCCCAATCCTTAGCAAGCAATTTCGTGTACAAAAACTCACCGTAAGCATTTCACGACCTTGGCATTTTCTTGAAATCCAATATCATGATTCTGGAATTTGTAGCATGAATTACTTATATATTAGGGTTCATTGAAACATTTGCAAACTGTTGATAATGATTAATTACATTTTTAATAACTATACAGAGATATGCCATTGTTAGGTTTTCTTGGTTCGTTTTGGGGTTTTCCCATGCAGGTGAAATTGGCCTAAATGGAAGAGGTCATTATGATCAGTGGGTCAAACCCAGCTGATCCATGGTTTTTAATTTTATTTATATTGCTCGTATGTGATTTCTGAGATGTACAATGTTACAGCTACAACGCTATATCCGTAGGTAAAAGTTGTGAGTTTTAAACGATAGATCCAGGGAAGAAGACGATAGCGTGTCATCACTTTACTGGCCGGTTTAAATTTTGGCGTATTTATTTTGGCCAGAAACCTATGGATTTGATCTGTTGTTTGTTTTTGTACGTTGATAAACTAACACCCAGCGCAGTTGTTCAGAAGGAGGAAGTCAGAAATTCATGATTATGGGTTCGACCACAGGCGTGACCCTCTGGCATTCTTTCCCTTTGTTTTCACCAGATGTAGCACCTACATCTGCTGGGAGTCAGCTTTTGATTTCATCAACCAGGACCTGATCAAGCATCCCCTGGGCATTATCCTCTGTGTTGTACCCCAAAATTTTCCCTCCCATTTCCTCAACATTTTCTCATCACAAGACCCTTGGAGCTCAAGATCAAGTTAGGGTTTACTCTGCTCAAGACTCTTCCTTGCACTGTAGACCCAAATTAGGGTTTGAGTTTGCACAAAGATGTTTTGACCTAAAATGCCCAAAGTAACTTTCATTCTTCATGTTGGACTCACAAGTTTATCCATACCAAGTTTCAAGCCTTGATTCCAATCTTTGCCCAGTCAATTGGACAGTTGACCTAGAAATCAGTTGTATTGGGGAAAAGTCAACTGTGGTCAATTGACAGTCAAACCTCATGATTTTTGACCCATATCAATATTATGAACTCATATGGACCATTTGATCAAGTTTGGATCACAATTCCACAAGAAATTTGATCAAATCACCAAAAGGGCAAAATGGTCATTTTTAGGGTTTTGACTGCACAAAGACAATTTTTGACTGTTTGACCTAACCAATGGCAAACCAAGCTCACATAAGGACTCAATGACATGGTCTTGGCACATTCAACAAGTTCAAAAGATCCCAAATGCACAAGATTGACAGATGAATTTTCCAGTCAACTGATCAAATTTGACTGTATACTGAAAAGTCAAACTTTGACTTTTTGGTCAAAATCAAGTGTCAAGATTCATTTTTCATCAAGACATGCGAAATTATGAAGCTTGTTCATCAAGAAACCAAAATTGCAAATTAGGGTTTAGAATGAGAAAATTTCATAACTTAGAATTTTTCTAAGTTATGGAACTTCCTTATTTTTTCCTAACTTTGTCCCATTTTTTCATCAAGATACATTTGGATTCAAACAAAACTCAAAATGTGAAAGTTATAGTCCATTGCAAAATCTACAACTTTGATTCACAAAGTTTCCTCAAAAGAAGCTTGTAGCTCAAGTTATAATTTTTGGAACAAGGGTGCAAAACATTCTTAACTTAAAAATTTTTTTGACCTATGTTAGGCAGGATCTTTGCCTAACTTCATGGCCACTTTTCACATGCTTCCACTTGGAATTTCAACTTGCATTACAAAGATGGATTGTAGTACACATTCCAAGCTTTCCAAATTGTCCAAGAACTTCTCAAACACCCTTGTGGTTAGGGAGAATCGAATTGGCAAAGTTGGGCAAAAGTCACTTTTGTTCTTGACCAAATGCATGTTCATAACACTTTGCATTTTCAAACTCAGCATGCAAGCTAGGTTACAGGCCTCTAATCCCTTTCTTACTCAATAATTCAATTCTAAACCATTGTGCCAAGATGTTATTTCATTCATTTGGGCAATACATGTTAGATTAATCCATAATTAGAAAAAGCATTTTAGCCATTTTGATAAAGTTACACTTTATGTCAAACACAAATCTAAGAAGTACCAAGGCAGATCTTTTGGGCACAAGTTCAGGAACCAATTACACTGATCAAGAGTGATTTGTGCAGCATGCTTGAGGGGCCTGTATGAGCCTATAACCCAACTTGACAAACTTTGCTTATGATAGAAGAAACTTGCATATTGAACATCATCTCTCATTCCTGTAACAACTAGCCAAAGCAAACATTGTGAGCACATTCCAAACATTAAACCTGACCTGAAACACGAGCAAACCACCTTCAATACCTCCTCATTCACAGAAACACCTTCTTGCTGCAAAAACAGAGTCCCTTC